CTTTAGCCTGTTAATAATAGGAAGGAAGTGAGACAATAGAATTTTAAATGACAAGTTTTTGTTTTAAAATTATCTTTGCTGCATAGAAATCTACAACAATGTATGTGATTATTAATGTATTTTAGTTCACACTTGGTTAATTTTGTAAATGACCTTTAGATTTGTATTTCTAGAGGAGAGACTATTTCTTCTCTTTAGGGGGTGATGTGATAGACAGGGAGATAGTATTGCTCTATGTATAGTTGCCCTGTGCCTGGTGTTGATCCTTTTAGTTTAGGAGGCCCAGTGGGACTTCTGGCCGGATGGAGGCATCAGTGTTGTCCATAGAGGAAGTCCTCCCTGAGTGCTGCCCACACAGGATGTGCTCTCTGAGTACTGTCCATACAGGAAGTTCTCCCTGAGTGCTGATGAGTGCTCTTCCTGGTGGTACCAAACCACTTGTGCAGGAAAGGCTGAGGGTCTGCTAATACAACCACCCCATTTATTCATGAGTGACGTTGTTTTCTATCCATTTTGGCATGCAAATTAAGCCGAAATAAATATTATCAAGAAAGTGGAATTAGCTTGTTTCCTTTGCCCTGGGAGATACAAGAATGTAGTTTACCTGACTTGCTAATGGGAAAAATTAGGCTGGAGAAAGCTGAGCGACTGCTAGGCTCTTTTGGGATGGGTGGGTACTTAGCTGTGGTTATCCAGCCACCAGGTCCCCTAATTAGATTGAATGTGTGTAAATAGTTGCAAGCTTCGTCCAAAGAGGATCTTTTCAAGTTCCAAGGCAGCTTAGGGTTTGAGAGGCAAAATGTAAAAGGACTATCAGTGATGAAAATGAGTGATGAACTGGGTAAAATATTTCCCTTTTGGTCCCTTTCTAAGCTTTTTAAAATTTTGTTGAAGTTTATCATTTGTCCTGCCAAGACACATACTCTAACTACAAAGTGTAATTGCTTTAAATTTCTCAGAGTTACGAAGCTGTAGTTAAAGACTTATCAGTACTTGCATTTTAATCTATGAGTGAGGGTTTAATTTTTCAGTTTAAAGTCATATCATCTTAAAATGTTGACTAATGGTCAGCAATAATATGCTGAATCTTTCCAAAGTTGTTTGTAGAATTTATTCTTTAATGCAAAGATTTATAAAGTAGAATTTTTAAAACCAATTGTTTTAAGAGCTAATCTTTTTTTTTTAAACACTATCAAGTTGTTAAAGGCACCTTTTACTTTTTAAAAAACGTATCTGCCAATGGTATTATCACATTTCAGAGAAGCTTGAATTTTGTAATTAGCAAAAGTGATGGACACAGAACATGGAAGAATACAAATAGGACATTCAGGATGTAGAAAGTGTTTTGGGGTGCCACTTAGAGTACTGTTTGAAGGCTCTGGCTCTGTTTTCTAGCAGACCTGGGTTCAAATTCTAGACCTTCCACCTTCTAAATATGTGTGGCCTTTGCACGTTGCCTAACCTTTCTTGAGACTCAGTTTCCTAATCTGTAAAATCGGAGAACAATAATCTATCTGCCTGTCTGCATTAAGTACGGTAATGTATATAAAGTACTCAGCAGAGTCTCTGGCATAGTCAACATGTAATATATCCTATTATTAAAATGGTTATTAACTCATTCTGAATAGTCAGGAGTAAACAGTTTTTTTGTATTTGAATTTTCTTTTTTGAACATGTATCTAGTGTTTAATCAGGTATTTTTAGTTTCAGTGACTTCTAAAAACTTAATCTTTGGTTTAAAATTTTCTGCACCAGAAAATTAAAAATTGACAACCTAGAATAATTCAATGCTCCTCTCTTTCAGTTTTCTTTCTCTGTCTTCAGTAAGCCCCAAGAAAGACTTGATTTGGGAATAAAAATTGAATTTGAACTTTGTTCTATATAGGATTCACCAGAGGCTAGTAGTCCTCATTGGGTACATTTAGGAACCCCCTTCTTCTGCCTGGGATCAGATGTTGGGAGATTTTATTCCCTCACAGGGCAAACTTACAGCGGCAGCAAGGAGGCACAGGTTCTATCTGCTTCCCACAGTGCGAAGATACTACTGTAGTAAATACGGATGCCTGTCAAAAATATATTAAACCAGCTATTTAAATTCAGTCATGTAAATCATAGTTTTATTTTCGCCAAAAATGAATACATAAATAAAAACCTATGACTTTCTTGTCTATATAATCTCTAAATAAGTCATACCTCCAAATGTTTCTTTAATTATACAAGTGCATGCCTGCCACTCCCTTTCCACTCCTGGCAAAATCAAAGGTTCCAGTGAATCCAGCCTTGGAATGCAGTCTTTTAAACGCCTGATGGTTCATTTGCTTCTGTGTTGATGTAATCCCACTAAGAGATAGGGGGCGGGCCTGATCCATAGCTTGTTGCTGACTTCTCCAAGTCTCATCCCAGATGACCACGTTTCATCTTGAGCCCAACAGCTGCAGTAAACATACTGGGTCCTACTGTGAAAACAGCGTGGCCGGTGTCAGGGATGGTTCCTGAGACACTAATCAAAGGAGATTGAAGAGAAAATTCAGTCCTGTCTAGCTCTGATAACTACAAGTTCTCTGTGTCAATCAAAGGCTTGGGACAGGGAAGCTCGTGTGTGGGCTACTTTCCAATCCCTCTGTTCTCACTGATGTGAAAAATAGAGGAGGGCTGGATGGCAGGTAGCAACTGAGTGACTTCAGAGAAGGAGCACAGGCTTTATGGGGCATGGCCGGTGCTCTGAGGTGCCACCTGTGGCAGAGCACATGACAGAGTTTGGTCTTAGTTTTATATCTAGAAAGCAAAGTTATTAGCCTCTAGAGAAAAACCGGTGGCTTGGGGAAAGGATATGAGTTCAGCTGCTCATTAAGGGCATGAATCAAATAGATTTGGTAGGATGTGATCTCAGGATGCTTTTACTGAGGGGTTAAGCTGTACTTATGTTCCCAGTTCAAGTTCAGCTTTCAGTGAATAGCATTTCTGTGTTGACTATTATTGACCCTAGCCGCTTTCCTTCTAAAAGAGAATCTCCGTAAATAAAGTGGTGTTTGGACCCAGATGATACCTTAGCAAGGAACTTGGGCAGTGGGAGGAAGAATCTAAAAGATATAGGGCCAGAAGAAATGGTAACATATTTAAATAATTGGGGCTGGGTGTGGTGGCTCATGCCTATAATCCCAGCAATTTGGGAAACCGAGGTGGGCAGATCACCTGAGGTCCGGAGTTTGAGACCAGCCAGGTCAACATGGTGAAACCCCGTCTCTACTAAAAACACAAACATTAGCCAGGCATGGTAGTGTGCACCTGTAATTCCAGCTACTCAGGAGGCTGAAGCAGGAGAATCGCTGGAACCCAGGAAGCAGAGGGTTGCAGTGAGCCGAGATCACGCCACTGCACTCTAGCCTGGGGGACAGAGCGAGACCCCATCTCAAAAAATAAAAAATAAAAATAAATTAATGAGATCACCACATATTGGGATATTATGGAATTAGGATGACCATGACAGAAGCTGGGTACAAAATTAGGAATCTATAGTGGGCAACAGAGGTTGCTGATGAGGTAAATGAGGGTATGTTTATTGCAAAGGGTCTGCTTTTCAGCTTTCCACTGTGAGATTTGATTTGTCTTCAATAGACATGTCTGACTGGTAAAAACCAGTCCATGAGATTTGAACCTTTTGTGGATTGTCTAGTGACTATTTAATTTTGAATGTTCAAACTATTCATATGAGTGATGTCCTTAAGTTAGTACAGTATATTTATTTATTTTGAGATGGAATTTCACTCTTATTGCCCAGGCTGTAGTGCAATGGCACGATCTCGGCTCACCGCAACGTCCGCCTCCCGGGTTCCAGCGATTCTTCTGCCCCAGCCTCCCGAGTCTCTGGGATTACAGGCATGATCCACCACACCCAGCCAATTTTGTATTTTTACTAGAGACAGGGTTTCTCAATGTTGGTCAGGCTGTTCTTGAACTTCCAACCTCAGGTGATCTTCCTGCCTCAGCCTCCCAAAGTGCTGGGATTACAGACATGAGCCACTGCGCCCAGCTGTACAGTATGTTTATTATTTAGAAAATGTGAGGTGAAAAAAAGTCCCTCTCCTGTTGTGAAATGCTGCATGTTTGCTGTGAGGACACTTGGGGTTGTGTGCCTTTTCATCTCAAGCTGGGCCACTTAACTTCCTTAAAGTCACGTGTGTGGGACTGGGTCAGAGAACTGTGGTTTCTTTCTATTGGTGCATGGAGAATTATCTGGTGTGAGTATAATATCAGACATTCTTCCTAGGTGGCTGCCGACTGTAAAACCACACTGAGCCCTTTGGTTATAGGCTTTACAAGAGTTGCGATGGGTGCTGCAAGCTGGGAAGGTTTCCAGCTTCTACAGCATTCTCACAGGAGTTAAGTTTCACAAGGTTAGCCAGAGCGAAAGGCAGCCTGCCTGGGAATCTTACCCAGATGTCTCAGTGAAGTCCTGTGCCTATCTTAGAACTAGGTGAGATCGTCCTTTTTGGAGGATCTGGATGAAACTCTTAACTTTCTTATACTTCAGGAGTAATTTTTTTTGATGAGTCATCCTAATAAAATTATAAGCAACTTTCAATCAAACGTTCTTCAGAATTTGAAAACCTTTTCAAAAGTCTAGTGATTTCTGAATTACTGTGTATTAAGATGGTATCATCTAACTTCATGTACGTTAATTGTGAGTCTCAGTAGATGTGTTCCTGAAAATATGTGAATAAATTAATCTAACATAAATTTAGTCACATTTAAGGTGCACACAGAGAACTTTTACTGAGTAAAATCCTTTTATCAATTTCATGTTGCAGAAGAGGGCTTTTTAAAAATAGCATGAACAGTCCTTTTTTAAAATGTAAATTAAAATTTATACCTCAAAGTAGCTTAAGGTAATCTGTATTGAAATCTTGGTAACTTCATTTTATTTGGGAGATCATACAGCCTCTAAATGGTGTCAGTCTCCTAATGCTAGCATGCTAATTCTCCTCATCCTTGTTTTTCAGCAGTCTCTGGTCCCAGCCCACCCCATGGCCCCTCCCAGTCCCAGCACCACCAGCAGTAATAACAACAGTAGCAGCAGTAGCAACTCAGGATGGGATCAGCTCAGCAAAACAAACCTCTATATCCGAGGACTGCCTCCCCACACCACCGACCAGGACCTGGTGAAGCTCTGTCAACCGTAAGTAACAGTTTTTCTTGTTATTTTAGCTGCTCAGTATTTTCTTGATCATATTATAGAGTGATATATACCGCATTATAAGAGGAGTTTATAGGTGGTATCTGTGGACTCTCAGTATCGCAACAATAAAATGGGTTTCAAGTGTTAACTTCTTGAATACTTATTCAGTCAATATTAACATCATCAGACTGGCTACATATCAAAATGAATTGGAGCATTTTCTTAATAGAATTTGACTTTATGGGCATATGAAAAGTAAAATATGAATTTTTGGAAAAAATGTATGGCTAGATATTTTTTTTAAAGTTGTTATTTTTTGTGGATGCACCTCTGAGGGTCTGTCTATCCTATGAGAGGAACTTTACCTATCATTGTTTGTAAGAAAGGTTGTTAACCATCTTACCTCATCCTGAATATAAGCTCTTAATTCCAGCTGGGACCATATTAGTCTGTTCCCATTAGCATCCATAGTTTTGTGGTCTGGGTTGTTCAACCTCATCTCTTTAAGAATAAGAACTCAATTCTACCCATTCAGTGTGTTATGAAGAAATGTGTGCATGTGCATAAAGTTCCAAAGTAAATTTGCATTATATGCTAATGTTGTCAATGAATAGTAAATTTGCATTATATGCTAATGTTGTCAATGAATAGAATATAAATGTACTGCTTTGCTGCAATTACATTAACTCACTAAGAAAGCACTAATTTAAAACAAGCAGCCAGAAGCACTATATAGTGCAAAGATCATTGTGTAAGGACTGAAAGCATCAAATTGCATCAAGCTGTAAAAGCCTACACATATAACAGCACTTTTTATTTATTCTAAGACAATAATGGTCCCTTATAAAGATGATTTTGCGTAACTGCAGTAGAAAACTTTTGCTAGAGAATGTTTCCTATTCCCTGAATTTCAAAACGTCTGACTGATAACATCTCATTTCTCTTGTGTATAAAATCCAGATTCATTAGTTATTTTTTTTTTTTTTAAGAAAAAAAAATTCAAAGCTAACTTGGTCAGTTATTTCCAAACTGGAACTAAAAGTACCATCTGGCCTTCCATGGGTGGGGGAGGGGGTGATGGTTGTTTTGCTGTCTTTTGTTTTGAAAGAGGAGGGTTGGGACAGTAGGTGGTGGCTTTTTAAGATCTGGAGAGCTTTCTAGAAGGCCGTCCCTTCTCAGCACTCTCCCTGTGCCTTTTCTGTGTCCCCGTTTTTGACCAGCCCTTGTGGACTTCGACTCCAATCCCTGGCTTTTGGGGCAGTGAAATAATGTATTGCACTAGGGACTGCTGTGAAGCAAGCCCAGCTCTTGGGGTTTGTCATTGCTGGCTGGAGGCAGAGGGAACCCTGCCAGGCACGCCCTGCCCTATTGCAGCTGTTCAAGACCACAAATAGGCCTTTTGCTATCTCCTCTGCTGCTGGCCTTTCAGTGGCGTCATATTATGTTTTTGCAGTGTAACTACAGGTAGATAGAGTGCCATAAAGTCTAAGGAACTAAAAATATGACTGTAAGAAACAGAAGAATGAAGCTAACTCTCAAATTCATGAGGTGTAAGAGAAAGGGAGTGGAATTCAAAAGACAAATTGTTCTCCAGCTAGCGTTGAATTATGTAGGGTGAGTTTTGATGTCAAGGAGACAATTAACGGTAAGATACTGGAGTAACACCATGTTTTATATACAGTAAATAAGTACTTGAAAAATTGAGCCAGTAATTTTTTTATTGAACCAAATCATATTCCAAATGTGGAAGAACATTTTACCATTTTTTCTAGAATATTCATTTCCTTTTTGCTGTTCTCTTTGACATATATGGATTTTCTTAACGTGTGTAAACATTATTCTCCTTGCTGTTATCAGTAGCAGCAATAACGTTGCAACCCTCACTCTCTCCCATCACTTGCAAAAGAAGGCTCTTGTAAAATTCCAGGTTACCTACTGAAGTCTGATAATAGTCTTCTTAATATGTACCATACAGAGGCAAAACAATAATAATAGAGGACTCTATCTCAGAATTTGCTGGAAACGTCATTCCATTTAACACAGAGAATGTAGTAAATACCAAATTTGACTTGCTGAGAGTTTCGTGTCTTAGAATGTAGGAAAAGCACAAAAGAGCTTCCCTGTTCTGGACTTAATTGTTTCCCATAAAGAAGAGCTAGTTGGTGATATAGAAGTGACAAGAACCTTTTGAGAAAGTAACTCATCCTAGAGCTAAAAAACCCAGTGGACATAATTAGAGATTTTAGAAAAGTAGGTATCAGAAACTTCTCAGAAAAAAATAGATATAAATCCATACCTCTAAAAAAGAAAAGAAACACTTAGAACTAAAACTTAGCACCATAATTACAAATTGACCTGATGAGGCTGAATTGGGAGGGAAACAAAGGAAACAAATGATTTGGCGCTCCAGGGGGCTTGGATATTTTAGAGGATTATTTAACAGAAAGATGGGGACAAGCCAGGAATGTTTATGATGGTGGCCCAATTCCATACAAACAGTGCATGAAGTCCAAAGGTTGAGTATTACATGAAAATTTTAAAAACTGGAGAGGAAAACAAAAAATATTTTTTAAAAACTGTGTTTGAAGTAGAACATAAGTATGCTGTAATGTTAGAGGAGGTTATAGTGGAAAAGCAACTGTGATGTTAAGATGACAAGGAAAGGCAGCCCCACCCAGACTCCAAAGAGGGAGTCATGCCCGACCTTGGAAAGTGTAGATCACCATGACTAAGAGGAGGAGGCATGTGGGACAGGAGCTCAGACCAGAAGCCAGGCAGCCTAAGTTCCTGACACAGGGTGGTGATGGTGGTAAGTCAGGTAATCTGAATTGAAAAGAGATAAATTGTCTAGAAGCATTTAATGAAAGACGTCAGCCAGCTCTAGTTAACTTCTAAATTGTAAAACACATAGGAAAAATCTTGGAACCTTGGCTGCTGTAGGCTGCTGCAGCTTCGCTCCCTATATTTAAGAGGTTATCTATTCACAAAGAATATATCAGTATAGTTAACCAGCAAGTACTGGAAATGGAACAATCTAGGTAACCCAAAGGGTTCACCTGCTATCCCTTGGCTTAATATTCTTCCTTCTCTGAAATCAAGCCAAACAAACACTATGCTTGACTCTGCTTATCTGTGTGGTATTTGTCATATAAATATTTGCCAATGCAATATTTCTCTCATTCAGACTTCTCAGGCAGACTTTTTAGTTGGATGAATTGAGGGCTCCTGTTGCGTCCATTTTCTTGACATCTTAGCCATTTTTATTTTGCCTTCAGACTTTCAACTGAAACTGCACTAGCATCTTAAATATCTCCTTATTTTCCCTAGCATTTTTTTACTCTCATCTCTCTCCTCCTTGACTCTCTGCCCTTCTGGTTTCTGTTTTCTTGGCTGGCTCCTTCATAGCCCCATCCTCCGATAGGGTTATTCTCCACTGTTTCTACTTTCCTGCACATTTTCCACTTGAATATTTTATTTTTACCTCAAGTTCAAAATATCCTCTCTCTCAACACTGTCACTTTTCCAAATTTACTTTCCTAAACATGAAGCTTTAGGAGTCGGCAGCTCCTTCCCTTTGTCCCTTAGTCACTAAGTTTTGTGGATTCTTCTTTGGCCCTTCTTCTTCCTTCTTCTCCCTGCCAGAAGAACAGGGTGACTCTCCCTCTCTGCAGTGTGACAGGAGAACCATTTGCTCCTCTGCTACCTCCCCTCTGGGACCTCCCCTCCCCACCTCAATTCAGCAAGGCCAATTCCAAACTCCCTGCCTCCTTTATGCTTGGACCACACCAGTAACTCTCCTCTTTATTTTTAAATTTTTACCTATTGCCAGCTCATAATCAGCATCTTACTTTCATAGGGTCCTGATTTCCAAGTGCCTGTTATATTACTTAGCCATATGTCTGTGACAGTGTATGATGCTAGCACCGTATTTTCTTATACAGATTTGTCACCCAGACTACAAAAGAGTTGTAGTCAGGATTGCTAGGTTTGGTATCCCAGAGTTACCTCAAAGTGCCAGGCAAGTACTGAATTCTCAGTCAGACTGTAAAATAGGTCAAATCATGTTATTATAAAAAATTGTGATAAGCATTAAATCAAATAATGTAAGTAAAAAAGCTGGCCCAGACCCTAGAACACGATTGTCACTGAACAAGTATTAGTATCCCTCGTTTCTTCCGTCCTTGAAATTCTAACTACTAGAATAAGCTTAACTTATATTCAATTCTACATTTAAAACAAAGGAGGAGAAAGCCCCATCAGATTCTGATTTTGAAAGCTGAGAAAGCCAGGAAAGTAGCTTACGCTAACCTAATCTCCAACCTCCTCTTTCTTGAGACATTTTTTTGGGGTGGGGTGGGTAGGGAGGGCTACAGGCATATCTTGTTTTACTGTGCTTTGCAGATAACTGCTTTTAAAAAAGTGCATTGAAGGTTTGTAGTAACCCTGCATTGGGCAAGTCTGTTGGCATCATTTTTCCAATAGCGTATGCTCACATTATGTCTCTGCATCACATTTTGAGAATTTTTACAATATTTCAAACTTTTCCATCACTATTATGTCTTTTATGGTGATCTGTCATTAGTGATCTTTGATGTTAGTTGTTTTGAGGCACCACAAACCGTTCCTACACATGGCTTAATCATTAAATGTTGTGTGTGTGTGCTGACTGTTCCACTGACCGGTCGTTCCCCTTTTCTCTTTCTCTCCTCCCTATTCTCTGAGATACAAAAATTTGAAATTAGGCCAAATAATAACTCTACAGTGGCCTCTAAGTATTCGAGTGAAAGAAAGAATCTCCCAAATCTCACTTTAAAAGCTTTTAAAATAAAAATTAAGCTTAGTGAGAAGGGGATGCCAAAAGCCAAGTGAAAGCTAGGTCTGTTGCACCAAACAGTTAGCCAGGTTGTGAATGCAAAAGAAAAGGTGAAGGAAATTCAAAGTGCCACTCCAATGAAAAAATGAATAAGAAAGCAAAACATCCGTATTGCTGATGTGGAGAA